TTCTTTCTAATGACACACAATGTTAAAATACAATGAAGTGTGCAATTAGGAAGGGAGCGCTTGCTGCTGATTATGGAGCGCTCCAATAGCACAAATGGAGCGCTTCTAGCCCCGTTAGGTACATATAGATGTACATGTGTATATGTATATATATTTGTGAAAAGAAGTAGTTGGCTTGTGTTTCACTGTACGCAATTTCACCATTAATTTAACTCCAAAATAAAATATCCATAAAAATAGGAGGAAGTTTGAATTCATACTCACGCGGTCCATTTCGTAGTCGCTGAATCCAACCGAAAGAAACGTGAGCAGTAAGCAGAGATTCTGTGTGGGCGCCCCTTGTCCGCAGAGCAGATGCCCGCCCAGTTGATTCAGAGCGGTCGAAGGGAAAAGTTCGTGTAATCCCAAATGATTTAGGATCACCTACAATTCAAGCGGTGGATGAGCGAGAAAATAGTGCAGTGTTTCCAGTTTGTGCGATATTGGTGGCAATGTAGTATGTATGTATGTAGAATTTTGGTGTTGGCGACCAGCAGCATAACGGCAATGGCGAGAAGTTGTGGTAATTGTATCGCATACGTTTTTCAATGCCCGCCAAACATTGAAGCACACCAATGACGATTTGTATGAGGTCCGGATGTGGAAGAGACAAACCGGAAATTGTGCAAAAGTACAAAAATAAACTCAATATACTATGTGCAATTTTCGCTTTGTGTTAATGCAAAATAGGATGATACATTCCATTTCCAAGAATCTTGACTTTCGTCGTCTTAACGCAGATTAATTTTGGATGATAATGCAGTAAAATTATTATGTAGTAAAATAGCTAAAATATTTTGTTAAAAAATCTCATTTGAAGAAGTTTCTTTTATCCTCGATGGACAAAGTTTTGAACCCCTGTTTAAAAAAAACATTACACAAAAAGTTTTAGAATTAACACAAACGGCAATAATGTAAAGCTTGCTTTATTTCACTTTTAAATGGGAAATAATACCAAAATTTGAGTTTTGCTCAAGGTTCAAAGACTACAAGGTTACGACATCAGCCATGGCCGCCATCTTGATGACGTAGATGGCTCAATTTTTGTAGTTGCCAGATTTCTAAAAAATTATCTTATAAAAATACACTATTTTAGTCAAAAATACATGAAGTTTTATTTCAAATATGTGTAACCCTGATATTTACCGTTTGACAATTTGCGTCGAAGTTTGTGCTTTTTTCTGCGTCTTTGAGTTTATTTCAATTACCAAGAATTTAAGTGCGCTGTTTTTGATTGCAAAAATTATACTGAAATGGGGTGATTTAGGTTTTACCGTATGTCTAAAGATGAATTGCCATTTCGGTAGCGAAATTTTGGCAATATTATGAACGCATTTTATTTAAAAGTCCGCGAGAGTGTTCTGCTCACTTTCAAGAATAAAATCACCAGCAAATTTCAATTTGCATTCGATTTACATTTAATTTGTCACTATTGTACGAATATTATTATGTTAATCCAGTTTCACATGAAGTTATAACATTTTATGTTGTTATAATAAGCTTTGCCACGATTTTATATCAAAAATGCCCATTTGATTAGGATTCCTAAAATATGCTATACGGCAACTATATTTTCTGCGTTTTGTGTACTCTCCTTCTTCGTAAAATATTTCAGCCAATCAGAACTCACTTCGCAACTACGTCATTGGAGGAAAATAAATTTTTTACAGCACCATGTCGTAACCTTCTATTCTATGAACCTTGAGTTTTGCTTTATTTCCAACCCTTGTTGGAATTTTTCTTTATTTCCCATTGCTTATTTATACGATTTGTAACAAAAACCGTTTACTTACAGAAGGAAAAAGAACTTTGTTTATTCTAAAAATACAATTAAACAAATATTTTTACTTAAGAAAAGTCCAACAAAATATAGGGAAAGCCTTGTCTTTAATAACTGCTCGGCAAATTGGACATAGCGCTGCATGCTTTTTAATATGTTGAAAATATTGCTGGAAAACCTCGAAATGTTTGCATGGAACCATGGCGCAATAAACAGGTGAAACAATAAAACAGCTTTCTCGCTTTATTTTCCGACATTCGGCTGCCTCATAGCCAAATTTTAAAGACAATTTTTCATATAAGGCAGTGTCAAAATCTTTCTTCTCGCTCTAATTACGTCACCTGGCATAATTCCGCCATGGCATGGAACAAACAAAAGGTCCGTATCCGAACTGTGGATTTCGTTTACGAAGACGGAGCATGTGGTACGAAATAGTGATGTAAAAATATGTAAAATTTTACCTTCTACGTATACCCGATATAAGCAGGTGGGATGAATGGGGTAATAAACAGGTGAAGTAATAAAACAGCTTCCTCGCTTTATTTTCGGACATTCGGCTGCCTTATGGACACATTTTATAGGCAAATTTTCAAATAACGCAGTGTTCGTATCGAGGAATACATACAGGGGCAAAAATAGAAATTAGGACTCGACATTAAAGTAAGTTTCGGCTCTTTTTTATACCTTTCATGAGCATGAAATGGTATTATAACTTTGGTCCGATGTTTGTAAGTACCAGAATAAGAAGAGATAGTCCCATTAAAATGGATACTTAAATGATCGGAACGTCGAGCTGAGTCGATTTAGCCATGTCCGTCTGTCCGTCTGTCTGTCTGTCTGTCATACAACTGATTCTGATCTTATACCTCTGATTATTCAGATACCAGTTATTACGATATATCTCCTCTATGTAGGAGTCTAAACCCATTAAATTGTGTTACCGGTTTACATACCGATCACACAACAGTGAAAATCACTTAGATTGCTGCTATATAAGGTATATCATCCATACCTCTGATTGTTTAGATATGGTTTTTCATATATGTATCTCTATCTATGTATTCTGTAAATATATATTTTTTTCAAATGCAGTAATCTATTAAAGTAAAATTTTCTGATGCTCATGAAAGGTATGAAGCCTTCGGCATAGCCGAAGACAGCGGTGCTCTTACTTGTTTTATCATGGTTTTTTGTATGTAGTATGTACCAGGGATGAAAAATGGTAATTTCAGATTGTACCTAATATCTTAAAATAAATGTACCTAAATGAGACAGATTGTACCTAAAAAATGTTACATCATTCATTTGTAGTTTTTTTTTTATAAATTTTGTTTAGGGGCTGTCCATATATTACGTAAGGGAGTTTTCACCTGTTTTGAACCTCTCCCCCCTCCCCTCACGAAATAAATTGTAAGATTTAATTGATCCCCCTCCCCCAGCCGCAAATCTTACGTAAGATTAAAAATCCCCTAGACATGTTTTTTCAATTAAACATTAGAAAATACTATATATTTCCATCAAACAAATATAGGATGTATGCCTAGTAAGTCTTAAAAACTTCATTACATAGTTATACTAGTCTTTCTTTGTTGCCGGTTTCTTTGGTCCACGGTCCAGCCAGCCAATCTGAAAGAGGAGTAGCCACAGGGATATGTCGTACTTCTTTTTCACTCAAAGGTATTTCATTTTCACAGTCCACTTAAATTTCTTCTTGATTCACCCACTCAATAATATCCTCTGTTTCATTTTCTGTGATGACACATATGAGCTCTCGCCCGCGTCGTGAAATTATCCTCTTTGCTCTTCGACGCTGAGGCTCAGAAAAGATCAAGTGAAGCTTTTTGTGAATGCTTGTTGCCTTATTTGATGCAAAGTACTTACCACATACATTGCATATTCTCTCCTCAAGTTGGTCATTCACTGAGGGACAAAAAAAATCATAAGGTATACTTTTGTAAGTGCACGGAATAGTCACTTTCAGTGCCATTCTTAGGAATAATGGTATGAAATGATCATTTTCTTGTACTTCTGTCGGAGAAGGTACTGTCAACATTGATTGACAACAAAGAGTAATAGGTGGTGGACAAAAACCGGTTTGAAGAATATCTCGAAAATTACCCGAAAGGTCTTACGTAATATATGGACAGCCCCTTATAACAGGAATACAAAAGACGGATTTACTTTACACATGATTAGGTGTTTATTAACTGGGCCTATATCTATAGACTATAGTCTAATGGGAATCGTAGAAGCGTTGTTTTTGTCTACTGAAAATATTAGCGAAAAAAAAACAAAAAACACACTTTAAAAACATACACTTTAAAACATATTTCTTTATCCAACTTTTTATAAAACAACAGGAAAAGTCTGCTAATTTATCCGATTCCTTTTAAAAGGTGCAGCAAGTCTAGAGAAAATAATCAAATTGCCGTAAGTAACTTCGAAAGCATTTTAAATATATGTATGTATGTATTTTCAGAAATAAAAAAGCCAATATGGGTCAGATAGCCATAGTTCTCATCTAAAGAAAATATGAAATTTGAAGACATCCTAGACACTGGATACAGTCCAAATATCCGAATAAAGACTGGTTTTCATTATGTCATATTTTGACAAAAAAATTTGTCGACATATTTTGACACAACTTTCTTTCCTTTATAACTACCTTTATCCATGATATTATGGGCCAAAAATAGCCGCTTTAACAGCGCATGTACACGCCTGAAAGCCTATTCTGATCTAAATCAATCAAAATACCATTTTTAGACCCATTTGACAATTTGTTTTCACTCATTTGACCGTAAATGCCATCGAAACAATAGAAGAAAAAAAAACTACGAATTTTAGGATAGCTAAGTAAAGTGTTAATTTTTCGTAGTGGCTGCTCTAAATGCAATGTAAAATTTTTAAGATAATACATAATATTACTTTTTTAATTTCTTCCTATTGGCCACTTTTCTTTATAATTGTTTATTCTTCAAAATGAAGGCGAAGCTTTTCCCGTGCCTATAAGTAAATATATTAGCACGGTAAAGAAAAAAAATACTAAAAATGCATCTGATCAAATGATGATTGTACCTAAAATCTAGTGACTGTACCTAGTGTACCTTTAAGTCATCAAACGTCGGAAAAAGGTACAATTGTACCTACTTTTTCATCCCTGGTATGTACATACCCAACGGGACTGAAAGTGAGCTGCTCCCCAAAGGAGTAAGTAGGGAGCAGCATGATAAAAACATAGTAAGGTAAAACCGTTCTCTCAATTCGTCGGCCATGATTTTTTTTGAAGTTTGCCAACATTTTAAAATCATATAAAATTGAGTGTAAAAAAAAGGAATTGTTCAAAGTTGTTGTTGTTTGAGCTTGAAAATGAGAATGTGTGTGTGAGTTTGTTTGTAAAATTTTAAAATTAAATTGTTTGCAAACGTGAAGAATTCGAAAAATTCCTCTCAGCGGTTTTACCTTCCTATTTTTTTTATCATGGGGAGCAGTACAAAAGCAAAGTAAAAAAAAAATATTTAATTTCTATCAATGCTCAGAAATAAATATCCTTTTTGATTAGTAACATAAAATCTTTTCTTTTGAAAAAAAGTTAATTTATGTGCAAATATGTATGAATGTATGTGTTTCCATATGTACATATATCACATAGAAAAGAAGAAAAATCCATGTTTATATGTACACCTAATCAAACCGTCAAATGGTTTACAAAAACGCCATTATTTTATTAAAACAAAAATATAATAACTACAAAAATTTAAATTTGCATGTATCGCTTTTTAAATGCTTTACTTGAAGCAGCAAGGGAGCGGTTCTTTCTAATGACACACAATGTTAAAATACAATGAAGTGTGCAATTAGGAAGGGAGCGCTTGCTGCTGATTATGGAGCGCTCCAATAGCACAAATGGAGCGCTTCTAGCCCCGTTAGGTACATATAGATGTACATGTGTATATGTATATATATTTGTGAACTGATTGTTCAGATATGAGATTTTTCGTTATAACTTCTCCATTTATGCAGCTAAGAACATGAAATTTTGCAATACTTCCACCCAGTATCAACAGAGAACTTAGAGGGAAAATTACAGAGATCGGGTCACTATAAACTATAGCTCCCGTACTACTGATTGTTCAGATATAAGATTTTTCGTTATAACTTCTCCATTTATGCAGCTAAGAACATGAAATTTTGCAATACTTCCACCCAGTATCAACAGAGAACTTAGAGGGAAAATTACAGAGATCGGGTCACTATAAAATATATCTCTCATTCAACTGATTGTTCAGTTATGAGAATTTTCGTTATGACTCCTCGATATATGCAGCTAGGAACATGAAAATTCTCACCGTTTTCACTCATTATTAACAGAATATTTACAGTGAAAATAACAAAGATCGAGTCACTATAAAATATATCTCTCATTCAACTGATTGTTCCGTTATGAGAATTTTCGTTATGACTCCTCGATATATGCAGCTAGGAACATGNAATATATCTCTCATTCAACTGATTGTTCAGTTATGAGAATTTTCGTTATGACTCCTCGATATATGCAGCTAGGAACATGAAATTTTGCAATACTTTCAACGATTATCAATAGAATTCTTAGAGTGAAAATAACAAAGATCGGGTCACTATAAAATATATCTCTCATTCAACTGATTGTTCAGTTATGAGAATTTTCGTTATGACTCCTCGATATATGCAGCTAGGAACATGAAATTTTGCAATACTTTCAACGATTATCAATAGAATTCTTAGAGTGAAAATAACAAAGATCGGGTCACTATAAAATATATCTCTCATTCAACTGATTGTTCAGTTATGAGAATTTTCGTTATGACTCCTCGATATATGCAGCTAGGAACATGAAATTTTGCAATACTTTCAACGATTATCAATAGAATTCTTAGAGTGAAAATAACAAAGATCGGGTCACTTTTACATAGAGCTCCCATACAACTGATTGTTCAGATATGAGATTCGTTGTTATAACTTCTAAATATATGCAGATAGAAACCTGATATTTCGCACTATTTTCACTCATTATCAACAGATAGTTTACAGTAAAATTAACAAAGCTCGGGTCACTGTAACTTATATATTGCCTCCATATAACTGATTGCTCAGATATGGCGTTTTAATGTAAAACTAATTTATTTGGACAGCTAAANCTCAGATATGGCGTTTTAATGTAAAACTAATTTATTTGGACAGCTAAAACCGATAAATTT